AAGTATACAGTCTGAAAGTTCAAGAATACAAAACTTCCTCAAATTATTCAAAAGTAATATGTATGTTCCTACTTCTTAATTCGTATGTGTACACCAATATGAAGTTGAGACGTCTTCTTCATTAAGTGTCATTTATAAAAAGGGTCCTCCTTTAAAATTCGTGCTTATTCAAAAAGCCATGAAGCATTGAAGCATTTTGAATGAAAAGTTAAATAACAAAGGGTGAAATAAAAACCCAAACATTAAAATAGGCAGAAAATAAAACTGAAATTTATATATCAAACTTTGCAAACATAAGGCAAACATTTATCTCCAAACCGCGAAATGAGACAAGGGTAAACCAATACGAGAGTAGAACATAAACTCAAAATAAAATATTATAAGAGTTGAACAAAAACTCGGAAAGTAATTATTATATAAACTTGGTTAAAACCAAGTATAAACTTAGTTCCAAAACCCCAAAACAGACCAGGGGTAAAACTTCCCAATCATTACTAAATCCCAAAAATGGACTAGGGGTAAACTTACCAAACATTCTGCCAATATAAAAAAAAAACAACAAACTTTTCAATCAAACTTTCAGTATGGGTCAGGTTCTGAACCAGTATTATCAGAAGGATTCAAGATGGCATCATCAGTAGCAGGAGGTTCAACTTGAGCAGAAGAGGTTTGAACAACGGCTTCACCAGGAGCGAGTTCATCACCCACGGGAATGTCTACCTCAGGTGAAGAAAAGTTTTGACTCTGCTGAGTTTCTCAATAGTTTCTTTAGTTTTTGCAATTTCAGCAGCTAAGTCAAAGCCTTCCTAGCTTGCCTCCATTAAAGTTTTGAGGCGCGTGTTCAAGAAAGCCCAACTAACATCAATAGTAGCCTTGTCATCAAGGGCTTCATAATCCCTCTCCCACTGCTCAATTTCGTCACTTAGCTCTTCCTTTTCAGTCAAAGCAACATCATAAGAAGCTTTTAAGGGGGCGAGTGACCTCTCTAAGAACTGAACTTTGTTAGAAGACACACGGAGATCTTCTTGAGTCTGAGTGAGCATTTGAACAAGTTCCCAGGCGTAAACTTCTTTTTAGTTCAGCAGTTCCTTCAAACTTCTAATTTCTTCAGTGGCTTTGGAAAGCTGCTCGGCAAATGAAGACTCGAGGAGGTCTTTATCTTTGCCCACTTGACTAGAAGAGGCCTTCTCAATCGCCAACTCTGCTGCCATTACCCTCACTTGTTGATCCAAGGTACACTTCTCCTCATCTAAAACTTCTTTCTCAAGCTCAAGGCCATCAAACTGTTCCTTCCAGTTGTTTGCTTCGGTACGATAGTCGTTCATTAATTGCTCAGTATGGACGATCCTCTTCATCAGCTCTGTGCCAATTAGGTTAATCTACACGAGGAAAAGGAAAATATGATTACCAAATACAGATGAAAAGAAAGTCACATGCAAAATAAAAAACTAAGGCCTATACCTTTAAAGATGAATGGACAATTTCATTCATCCACGTTAAAGAGCCGTGGCTTTCCAATTTGGACTTCTCAACTAGGCCAATCAACGGTTTTAGCCATACATCGGCTTGGCCAGATTTCTTCAGGAGATTACCATCCTCAGGAACTCCGATGGTAACTTTTTTCATTACTCTACTGTTACTGGAAGAACCAACTTCAACATGAGAAGTTGTAACAGTAGGGCCAACTAAGGGGGTCAAAACAGCCACGAGCGTTGCAATAGCAGCAGCAACAGGTGCGGGTAATTGAGGATCAACTGGAAAAGATACTAGGATAGAGGCAAGAGGCGCTTCCTCAGAAACAAAGCCGAAATCTTCAAACCCATGAGAAAAAAGATGTTCTGTAGAGTCACGAGGTGCGACAGACATCTCTTCATCGGAGCTCACCAAAGTGGCACTTTCGGGCTCGTGCATGGGAACTGAACTTGGAGGAGGAGTGGATTCATCATCGGAAATAACACGTATTCTAGCTCGAGGCCCACGAACTAACGAGCCCTCCTCTTGTTCTTCTTCATCCTCGAAACCGTGTGCCCTATCAGCTTTTCTCTTTGATGAAGAACTTACCTTGCATAGTTGCAACAGTCAACAATTTTCCTACCCAACCACGGAAGTCTGGAATCTCCTTAACAACTTCCATGGTTACTTAAAAAGGGAAAAAATATGCAGTCATGAGGTTGTAAGTCCTTGTTTCTTCAATAAAAAAAGAAGAAGAAGGTAAAAAAAAACTTACGTGCAAAGTTCCATTTTTCTGGAAAAGGCATATTCTCTTCACCCACTAAACCTTTTGTGGGAGCAACAACGAAACGGGCATACCAGCCACGATCTTTGTCATCTTCAGGGCCAACCAAAACCCTTTTACTCCTGGCCATGAGAGTAAATACCCCAAAACGAAACAACTTGGGGGAATATAGATAAATCAAGTGATAAAAGGTAAAGGCTAAAGAGGCCAAATTCGACAAGTATCTTAAGCATGCCACGACTCTCCATGCAATAGGACCAATCTGTCCTAAGCAAACACTAAAGAAACGACAAGATTCTATAATGACTTGATCAATAGGTGGTTTGAAGCCTAATGTAAAGGGATATGTATAAACAAAGAAATAACCAGGTTTGTATGAGGTGATCCTTTGATTTGCATTAGGGACTAAAATTGGGAAATCAGATTTCCAATGGCATTCTCTTCGCACAATAGAAATCAAGCCCTCAGTAATCTGAGAAGGGTAAACATCAACATGATCATGAGAAGTCATAGATGTAACTTGATTTCTAATCGATTCTCGATCAGTAGAGAAGGAAAGTTCAGCAGGGACAATCTCATCAACAGTGGGTTCTCGAAGAGGTTCACTAGAATCCCTATTTCTAGCAGAAGATCTATGAGAAGAAGAAGGCCTAGTTCTAGAGGACGAAGGGGTAGTAACAATGGGTTGAGAAGAAGAACCACGAATAGATACAGACCCTAAACTACGTAATCCGCCACCTCTTCTACTTCTGATAGGAGCAGATGAAGGGAGAAGTTCATCTACTATAACTACTCTACGAGGATCGGGATTCGGAGAAGACATGGTTGTATAAGAAAATAATACGAGCTGATGAACAAGAACTATTATGGAAGGAGAATACTGTAGATTGAAGGTTTTCGTGAAAGCAAAGGCATAAGGAGGTATTTATACGAAGAAGCAACCATCATATGAAGGGGTTCATGATGGAAACGTCATAATGAAAACAGTCACTTCATGACTGATGCAGCCGCAGAAAAGCCCTAAAAATCGCTAAAGAGTTGCAGATCCAATCAATGAATGCCACGTGTCACAGACATTAAATGGAAGTGACATACGACGCGTTGGTTCTAAAGAGACGCATGATACATGAAAAACGACGGCAAAAAATTCCTTCCATATATGTAATTCACTTCCCAAATATTCAATTGCTGAATAGTTGGTAAGTGGAGGGACTATCTGTATTGGTGAAAATAAATATTACACGTGTATTTATATATGTGGCTGATGTGGCAAGTCACGTGGATCACTAAGAAAACGACAGCCGGAGAGATGCATTAAAAGAGGCACGAGTATTAATAGGTACTAGCAAATCGCCCACGAGATAAATGGGGATGGTCGCTCGAGTCTGAATTGCTATATGAAGAGACACCGGCAAAATGAATCAAGACATTACACAAGGAAGATTCATGAATCGTCAATTAATGTGCATGAATGATCATAGACGTTACAAAATCTTCATGAACAGTTGCGATTGCCAATTATAACGTTACATTAATATCATTAATGTTCATAATGATTCAATCATAAAAGGAAAAAAACGTTGTACTTATAGATTCCTATATAAAGGAAGGGGATTTGACTTGTAAAAGGACGTTCTGATTATTATTGGAATACAATTACTTTCTTTTGCTTTCTATTGATCACTTTGCTATTTTACATTCTAATTTCCTTTCTTATCACTAAGAGAATATTGAATTTCTTGATTATCAGCAGCTTGAGTACTTCTAAAAATAGGCTTTGACTGAGAATCTAATTCTTTGGTTAAACAGTCATCATGACCGTCAGTGGGATTTTAGATCGTGGCGTTATCTTTTTATTTTGAAAAAAGCACATCTTATTTTTCTACATTATTTGTGTGTGTCTCTCTCTATATATGCACGCGCGTTTAACTTAAATCCACCGAGTTCGTAAGATCCACATGTGCGTAAGCCATTTTACAATGCTCAATGTCGTCCTCAGAGTCCTAAGGATTTAAACATGTTCAAACCGTCCAAAGCTACAGTTTCCAATTACAAGCCCTTCAACTTTTCATACTTGGACTGCCAACCAATTTAATCATTGAAAAGCGAGATATGCTACTCTAATGGCAAAATTAAGGTACTATTAATCTATCCTTCCTTCTAATGTTCTCAGTCGGAAGGAGGCAAAGTAATAAATCTAGTTCCTGAAGATAGTCTAACAAACTCATGAAAGTGAGTCTTTAGTAGACTTGAGAAAGAAGATGATCTGACTCAGTTGATCTGCACGACCCAGGCCGTCAAGAAAGGAGATTTGTAACAGACCATAAAAACCCAAAAAGAAGCCAAGCTTATGAACTGTCCAGCGTAACCAAAAAAAGTCAAATAATATCATCGTGTTCCAGGTAATGGAAGAAGGAGATGGGTCTGAGAAATATTAACTCGTATTTTGCTGTACAAAAGGGGCAATTCCGACTACCCATATAACGCTAATGTCATCCTTCCATAATGGAAACCTATACTCATTAAGCATTCAAATAAAATTCGAATTTTCAACAGTACAATGAAAAATAACCTGTTATGCGAATCAATGCTTGAAATGTGGAAATGAAACAGCAAAGCAACTGTATGTTCCAGAGGAAAAGACCACAAATGTTCGCTCGCCCTTTATTGGGGAAAATCCTTCTTTTGTTCTCCAAAAAAGCATTAGTAACAAACGGTAAGATTTTGTGGTAAGTCATTTCACGAGTCTCACGACAATTAAGCATTTAGTAGTGACTAACATGAAATCAAAAGAACTTTAATATCTAACAGGAACATTACGTACAATGTTCAAGACTTTTGGAATTACAAGATATAAGCTTGGTTACTCAATGTTCTCAGTTCAGTCAATATGCATGATATCTGAGACTTGCTATCAAACCAAAAACAAAAACTCACAAATGGAATACTTCAACTAGAACTCCTTTCTTTCACGTATCTGCCTTTTGAGAACCTCATTCTCCTTCCTCAATTTCATTATCTTTTGCTTTAGTGTATGCATATGTTGACTTGAAGTCGAATCTTGTTGGCACTCTACCAGTTTTGTTCTGCTGATAAACACTGCGTACGCGAAAGGCACACTTAATTTCTAGCTGTTGTCAACTATAGAGTAACTCGTCCTTTTGCTTTCAGATAGTGTGAAGTTTAGTGACTAGAAAAAGATAAATGAGAAAAACCATCTATGTATCAGAAGTTATAATACTCACATTCTTTTTCCATATCTTGGAGCCTCTTGTTCAACTCATTTTTCTCTTCTTGCTCAACCAGGAGAGAGTCCTTCAAACCTTGAATCTCATAATGATCTATAAAATAACAGCTAACATTTAGCAGTGGAAGAAAATAGTATGCAACCAACAAGAATATACCAGTTTGTGGAACTTTACATCTGGAGTCTACTTCAACAGACACTTGATCCAAGTTTCTTCTAAGAGCTTCTATTTGGCTCCTATGGACAACTAAATCATGGCGAAGCTGGTTTATGGTCGCTTCGTTAACAGCATCCTCAGTTTGGTATCGTCTGATTTACATCATCAAAGACAACATAGATTCTGCTGAATAAGCAATATATTTTTCCTATATACATATCTCATAATACCAAAGTTACCTGATTTGAGATTCCAACTCTTGAATTCTCTCTGCATGATCCCCTTTAAGAGATTCAATAGTTCTTCTGTACTCCTATTTACATGTTTCAATAATCATTGCTGTGTATAACTGTAAAGTCTGATAAAATTCGATTATCATGGGAAAACATAGGATTTTGACCTTTCAGATATCAGGTATGTAAAATCTACAAATGCCTAGATTTTAATAAACCTTCTATGTATTTCACCATTTTCCCCTTCCAATGCTCCAGTGGAGATGTTTGTTCTTCCTTTTCTTTTATAACAGGTGTTCGGGTCAGCTTGTACACACCTCGACTAATTCCACCGGGTACATGCTATGTCCCACCAGCACAGGTACCGGAACTCCATCCACCAAAGCTTAGTAAGATAGGAAGAAATTACCTAGTGTTTTTGTCTCCACTCGAATTTGTGGAGGTGTTTGTTCATTTAGTTGTATAAGTAAATAAGACAAAATAAATAGTACTCCCTCCATCCTGAACACTCTTTCCATTTTGAGACATCCAAAATGTTTGACATTATTCTATACAATATTCACAACTTCCAAGAAGTCATATACTTTAACGATTATTTTGATCAAATTAATAACTTAAACTTCATATCAAATCAAACGTTGTCGTATCAAATTGAATGAAGGGAGTACTAAGTTTGACTTACCCAGACACCAACAAATGTGTGAGCAACAACTTTCCTTATTTTCTTTTTCACTATTTTTTCCTTGTTTCCCTTCAATCTTCCCAGATAGCTTTGAATTGAAGACAATTTATGTGCAAGAAGGTCCCATAAAAGATAGGTTTGTGCATTTCATTAAGATATACTCTTCTCGTGTCCTAAAAATTGGCCTGAACTCACATTTTCTTTCTGTAAAAACTTATGATGTACACTCTTCAGATCCTCCTTCAAGCTCTGGCAACTTGAATGGCTTTCAATCTGTCACTTATTAGAACAATTCAAGATAATCAAAGAACTTCGGCAATAGAACATACAAGATTCAGTGGCAACCACTAAGACAGCTCTGAAATACTTCGCTTGTTTTCAACTACCTCATAAAAATGCATTAATCCAGATAAACAACAGGAAAAATGGTGTTTGTTTGGTGAAAGTGCACCTTATAAGCCAATGTGTTGAGTGACTCAGCGTAAAGCTTTCTCAACCGATCATTTTCTGCATGAATAAGCTTGGTTTATTTGAATTTTGACATGAAGAGGACAAAGTCCTACATAGGAAAAACTTAACAACTTGAAGTCAAAGTTTAGGCTCATATCTATCAGGTTAGCACAAGCCTGTAGACATTGGAGTATCCCTCTAACCGCGACTATTATAAACGTTTTCTTGAAGAAATTTTTCGTAACATTGGGGCTGTAAATGCTTATCGATGGAAGCTTGAAAGCAGTTCATTCACATAAATCAACTACTCCCTCCGTTCCAATTTATGTGAACATGTTTGACTGGGCACGGAGTTTAAGAAAAAATGAAGACTTTTGGAATTTGTGGTCCTAAACAAGTCAAAAAGGAGCCCAGAGTATTTGTGTGGTTATAAAAGCTTCTCATTAAGGGTAGAATTGTAAGTTTAAGCTAAATTGTTTCCAAATTTAGAAAGGGTTCATTCTTTTTGGAACGGACAAAAAAGGAAATAGGTTCACATAAACTGGAACGGAGGGAGTAATATTATGATGTACTGCATAAACAAAGGATAATTATCAAAGAGATCTTCCTTGAATGAAGGAATGTGAATTTTTTTCTCTCATCTCCTAATCCATATATTAAACATGACTTCCGTTTTCTGTAATGAAATTCATGAGTCAATTTGCGGTTTGAAAGAAAAGTGAAAATATTTATCTACTTAAACCTATAATGATCTCACGTATTCTCAAGATTTGACTAAAACAAGTGTTACAGAACATATGGATCTGAGATATAACACTGCATCAATGAATATCTGAAACAACACATGCTTATCATGTATGTGCCTTTGATTTTCAGTTAGTTCTTTGAAATCATAGACATGATAATGATCATGCTTTTCTTTCATTGAGACCTTCAAAGAATGTGATATAAGAAGATCAAACAGGCATATACAACTGCTTAAACATGTCAAATAATAAGTTGTCCCGAATTACAGCAATCATCTCTATTTACTAATCCCAGCTCCAAAATTCAACAATGAAAGACACGACACCGATGTGTCTAATTAAAAACCGCAATTTCTCTATCAAAACATGGACACAACAATGTTTTTTTTCTTTGGTCAACAACTTAAAACTTTTAAGAGATTGAGTGCTTTATTTCACTCCTAGTTGATAACCAAGGCACCTCAATCTCAAGCACGAGGAGCAGGTTTTATTTGGTGCAATGATCCTCAATTTTACTTTGTCACCTTTTGCATCATATTTTCAACACAGATTCACAGAATTTCAAAGTCTATCCAACGAAATTATGTTTAATCCTTACAAAATCTCCTACTTTCACATCCCAAGAAAGAAATTCATAAAAGGGTGGAGTGATTGATTTCTATGGTAAAATTCTCACCTTAAAAGAAGAAAAATAACAACTTATGTCCACCCTTACTCAACCTGCCCTAGAAATTAACCCTATCCTCTACAAATCCATAACAAGTTTTTTTTTTCCCCACAAAACCAACACTAGAATCGTGTATACATTCACCAGGGGCGGATTTAGCGTTTAAGTTATGGGTTCATTCAGAATTTGTAGTTTTCGCTCGACCTTGTATATGTTTTTTATCCACTATATAAGTACAAATAAAAGATTTTGAATTGGGTGTGGTAGAATCCCGAACTCAAACCCTTTAAGTTCAAATCCTAAATCTGCTCATCACTAACTAATGATTTTCGGAAGTCGACCCTTTAGATGGTTTTCCGGTAAAATTAAGCCAATTTTTCAGCAAACAAAAACACATTCTGCAGTAGTGTCCTGATGTTACGTCCAACTTATATGTTAGACATGTCAGTTTCTACGGTTGCGATATACTATCATATAAGAACCCCAAATATGCTCCTGAAAACAAAGACATCCTAAAATTTGAAAACCATAAGGAAGATTATTGAGGATAGTCAAACTAAGAATTCTCGAAAAATAAAAAGGTAGAAATTTACCAGATTGAAGGCGTTGTACGGTGAATTCAAGAGCTTCTCGTTTCGTGCTTCCCGTAATGTAGTCCGCTTGCAAGGTTTGAATCTCCACAGCGCCGTTCTTAAATTCCTGCAAAATAAATTAAAAAGTTTGAAGTATAAACAGAACCATAAGAGAGAGGAGTGTACGCACTTACGTCATATATTTGGTCGAAGCTCGAAAGCAATGACTCCATAGCTTCGTCAGTTGTTGCCGCCATTGCTGGCTGTTCTCTTTCAGTGTTTCGATTTTGGGCAATTGAAATGTCGGTTGAAAATGTTTAGGGAAATACTCCCTCTTCCTCTATCCCATTTAAAGTTGGAGGAAGCGCTGAGTTATAACGTGACACTCATTCCCCATTTTAAAGTTTTAATTTCATAAATCACCTGTTGAAAGTAGGTGATGAGCTCAAAGACAAGGATGTTTAACCCAAAATTGAGTTATTAGAATAAAATAATTAAAATTATAATTAAGTGTTAAAAGCAACATGTTCAATCTAAATAGTAACTAGACGGTGAGGATAGAATATGAAATGACACAATGAGTTGTAACACAAGAAAAGAGAAAAGATATTATTCCATGGTCGCTTGGAACTTGAGTGCTCGGAGCTTGGTTAAAGAGAAGTTGTGAGACTACTAATACAAATGTAAGCTGTTTTAATGGTGAATCTTAGTTGTCGTTTCCTTAAATCATGTGTTCGTTAGTCTCATTTGTTCTAGCCTTTTAAATAGTTTGTAATAGTTAATTTAATGTTAGATTTTGTAATCATAAGTTAAATATTGAATTCTGGATACTTCGGCGCCTGTTCACTTGTTGTCCTTCTTATCCGTAAATTTCATAATTATTCACGAGCTTCCTAGACATTTGACATAAATCCGATTTTCTAACTTCTCGTTTGCATTCTGGTTGTTGTGCAATCCGTTTAGATATTTCTAGCCGCATATCTTTTTTGAATGGTACATATGTGTGAGCGCTACTGTGTTAAAACACAAAATCAGAAAAAAACTGTTAGAAAAATAAAAGAAACTGGAAAAACAGAAGAGTTTAAGAAATATTCGGAGTCCACAATTTGCTTGTGTGTCCTTAAGGAATTTTAACCCCCTCACACGTTGCCAAGGTAATGGATTAAATCCTCCCAGGATAAAACGGAATAAACCTTCCTGCAACAGTGGCAATACAAATTGCAGGATACCAACGAACTTAAAGAACGGAGCAAAATCACACTTACGAATTTGAGAGAGAGAGACTGCGAATTAGGATGCAGTATATTAAAAAAGAAAGAAGTTCTGGAGTGTTTTTCGTGTCTAGAAAATGGAGCCTTGCCTTAGAATTTATAGGCAATTATCAGAAGAGGTGTCTGGAAAAGGTGCCTTTTCAGAAGAATACGCTTCCTGCCGCGGTTCTACCGCGGTCGCGGCAGAACCGCGGTCAGAGAGACTCTCCGAATCAGCCTGCCGCGGTTCTACCGCGGTCGCGGCAGAACCGCGGCCAGAGAGGCCCTCTGAACCTTCAGCAGGGTTCTGGCGTATTTTCAGCAGTGATTTGGCATTTAATTAATTATTAAATAATTAAATAAATTTTGTCCTAAAATAATCTTATCGATCATTTGACAAATCCGAAGCCGAAGCCGAAGCCGAAGCCGAAGCCGAAGCCGAAGCCGAAGCCGAAGCCGAGCCGAGCGAGCGACGACGACGGCGCGAGGGTTCATTCTCTTCAACTCGTTTTAAGAGCTTTAAGAAGTGATTCTATATATAAGCACACAAATGTGGTTGTCCCTCACCAATGAGGGACAAAGTGCAAGACAAAAGTTCACTTCTTCAAATTTTCAATTTCCCTCCATTTCCATTTCCCTCAATTTCCAATTCACACTTCTTCTACTTTAAAGCCCAATGGCTTAAAGTCCAACAATCCCCCACATGAATGGGAATGGCTGTATCAAGAAAGATCATAGATGAAAGCTATGTGATTTTGCAAGTAAGGATAAATTGCATCTGGATAAGTAGGTTTCCCTTTGAACTTTTCGGAGTGAACATATGTCGAATATACTCGGTCAATCAGTAGATTTGATATCTTTGAACCGTCAAACTTTAGTGTATACCTAGATAACCATATGTCACACAATGAACCCTTAACCGTCTTTTAGTTCTCATTGTTGTGTTCGTTTTAGCCATGAACACCGCCTGGTCTCATAAGTGCGTAGAGAATTGGCCTTACAGAATTCTCATTGAAGCGGCTTCCACTTCACACTTACATAGGTGATTCCTAAACGTTTAATCCTTTAGATTGACACTATTTGATAACTACCACATCAAACTTAGGTAATCATTAAAGAACGTGTAAAGTTCTATCCTTGTTACTGAACATTGTCTTCATCACGAGAAGGGACCAAAGATTTTACTTTGACAATGTTGAACCGGTCAATCACAACTTTGTTTGAGCTCCTTGAACCTAGATCTCGGAACATCCAAAATTCTAGGTAGAGTTACCGCCATGTTGACTTGTCCTCGGCCATAGTCCCATTCCTTAGATGATTTCTCAACTCCCTCTCTAGTTAAGCCTTTTGTAAGCGGATCCGCCACATTATCCTTTGATCTTACATAATCAATAGTGATAATTCCACTAGAAGTAGTTGTCTAACGGTGTTATGTCTTCGTCGTATATGACGAGACTTTCCGTTATACATAACGCTCCCTGCCCGTCCTATTGCAGCCTCACTATCACAATGTATGCAAATAGGAGCCAAAGGCTTTGGCCAGAATGGAATGTCTTCTAAGAAATATCCTTTGATAACCGCAGGATATTTATTGTAGTGCAAAGCGTAGTCTTGGGTATATTCCAAATATCCCAGAACTCGTTTCATTGCTACCCAGTGATTATTGTTGGGATTACTTGTGAATCGACTAAGTTTACTTATCGCACAAGCTATATCAGGTCGTGTACAGTTCATGATGTACATTAAGCTTCCCAACACACGAGCATACTCCAATTGAGACGTACTTTCACCTTTATTCTTTATAAGATGATGATTTAAGTCAATTAGAGTTCTTGCACTTCTAAATTCCAAATGTTTGAATTTTTCAAGTACCATTTTCACGTAATGTGATTGAGACAAAGCTAGACCCTGAGGAGTCCTCTTGATTTTAATTCCTAGAATTACATCGGCAACTCCTAAGTCTTTCATATCAAACTTACTAGCAAGCATGCGCTTAGTAGCTTGAATGTCGGCAATGTCTTTGCTCATTATTAGCATATCATCAACATATAAGCAAACAATGACTATATGATTTGGAACATTCTTAATGTAAACACAGTTATCACATTCATTAATCTTAAAGCCATTTGACAATATTGTTTGGTCAAATTTCGAATGCCATTGGTTGGGTGCTTGTTTTAGTCTATAAAGAGGTCGACAAACCTTCTTTTCTTTTCCCGGAACCACAAACCCTTCAGGTTGGTCCATTTTCAATTTTCCTCCATTTTATTTCCCTCCATTTCCAATTCACACTTCTTCTACTTTAAAGCCCAATGGCTTAAAGTCCAACAATATGTTATGTTTTATCAATACAAATAGTCTTTTCACTTTTTATATATTTTTCAGAAAATTTCCGGAGAATGAAAGATCCTTGTTGGGAATAAAACTATTATTGGTATTCTTAATTAGTAGGAGATAAATTTTGTTTGATCCTCATATTTCGAAATTAAAGTGATATGAGTTGTAACTGAAGTAATTTATGCTGCCTTTCTTTAATGTTCAAGTAAGGTGGCGGGCCTCGATTGGTGTTACTATTTGCAGTAATTTCAAGACAATGGTAATATCCTAGACCAACTTGTTTTGGATTGATGCTCTATATTGTCTGGTTCGAAGCCTATATATGAAGGCTTTTTTTCATTATATTTTTTATATTTTACTTTTAACCTTTTCAATCTAATATTTTACACCCTTCGCAACTTCCTTTGAGTTCTTCCTTTGTTCTTAAAATTTTCCCAAAGGTTATGAATTCTCGAAATCTTAACTTAGCAGTTAATGAAACCATAGCTTCATTAAGCCATGTTTCTGGTGAATCCCTGGTAGAAGGAATCTCCTCAAGAACTAAAAGTGGGAAAAATCCCCAAAAATCTTCTAAAGGCAAAAGGGCCAAGCATGAAGTTGAACCAACCATTCAAGATATCCTACCCAGGAAGTTGGGTTTCTATGCGGACCAGATCTCGTGGATAAGAACACCTTGGCAATCGGGAATAGGAATTTCCATTTGGACAATTTTTTTTCTCTGATTCAACCAGAGGATATTCTTCTCATTTTGGAAGGAATATCGTTGGGGTGATCATATCGATGTTCAAGTAGCTTTGGAACGAGACGGATCACCAGTTACCGAACTAGTTTTTCCTTCATATATATTGACCCCTTCACCCTTGGGTTTAATCCTTTGACCGACTCAGTGATCATAGATTTTTGTCGGCACTTCAACATTTGTGTAGCCCAAGTTAGCCGTGGTGTTTGGATATTAGTGGCCTGTCTTCGGTTCTTGATGAATACGACTAAGGTGGACTTTATCTTTCAACACCTTCTCCATCTCTATTCTCTGAAGCTTTTCTGGAGTGCGATTTTCTTACATTTTAATCGAGGAAGACGAGTGTTGGTGGATACTGAAGATGACCATGACAGGGGGTGGTATAACAAGTTCATTATCATATTAACCTGAGAATTAAATCAGTCTGGAAATCAATTGTTCCCTGAAATGTGAAACAATAAACATAAGCACATTACCCTTTCTTTAGGCTTATGTTTGATAAGTGAAGAATTTAATCACTTATTAGTAACTTTTTGCTATTATTTTTAGTCCGAAATTACTTATTTAATGCCCGATTCTAATAATAATTATTGAATTTCAGGCTTGCTAGGAAGGACTTAAGGTCTTGAAGGAAGAATGACTCAAAGGAAAATAATTCTAGGCCATTCAGTTGAAGAGGGGAAGAGAAACGAAAAGTGCGATCCACAAAAGAAGAAGTGCGCCGCAAAAGTAAAAGTGTGATCCACCAAAAAAGATGTGCGAGAGCAAAATGAGAAACTGATACCTCAGAACCTCAAGAAGGAGTGTGGTCCGCACTTGAAAGTGTGCGACCACACTTTGATTCGCAAAGAAGTCTGTACTGATAAAATAAAAGATCAAAGAATGAGCAGACAACCAATTTGAATATCTCTCCAAGTGCGACCGCAAAAGGAATAATGATGATGCAAAACCTGATGTGGCCACAAAGCATGAAGGGCGACCACAAAGTCCCACTCGTCATCAGCAAATGGCAATTCAAATCCAGCAAAGTGCGAACCGCAAATCTCTTCTTGTGGTCGCAAAGTCCTCCGATGCGCATTTTTGGTAGAAATTTTGGGAGTCTCACAAATATATATTTTTTTTAGCTCTTTAGGGTATCTTCTCACTGTAGTAGTTGTGGGTTAGTTAATT